CCCCCCCCCAAACCGAGCCCCCACACTCACGCGTTCAGCAGCTTGGCGGCCTCGTAGACCCCCACGCTGAGCCGAGCGCTGCGCTGCGCCGCCGCCAACAGCCGCTCCACCGCTGCTCCCACCGCGCGCATCCTGCGGGGCACAGTGCGATCAGTGCGGGGCTCAGCAGCACCGGCGGCACCGCGTCGCGTCCCGTCCTGTCCCATCCCTCCCCCCCAGCCCCGCAGCTCCCCGCACCCACCTGGGGCTGTCGCACGGCAGCAGCTCCTCCAGGGTCATATCGCGATATAATCCAATGGATGGCACGGAAGCCCTACGAGCGGTAATCCGAGCGGCGGAGCTGCCGCTATCACAGCTTCTCAGTAGCGATATCTTCTGTCGCGATCTCCTCTGTCGCGATACACAGGCTCCGTTCAGCTCCGCGTTCGCTCTGAGCCACCTCGCGCTCCGCCGCCTCGTTTTATAGCCCTCCGGCGCGCACCGCCCCCGCTTCTCCCATTGGCTGCGTGCGTGGGGAGCGGCGCGGTGATTGGTGCGCGGCGCGGGGATCCCACGTGGGGTGCGCGTGGGAGCGGGGAAACCCCCGCCCCGAAACTGCCTCCCCCCCCCCCAGCCTCCCCCGTTCCCCCCCTCTCAGCCCCGCGGAACGGGAACTGCGGGCGCTGCGCGGCGCATCGGAGCGGGGCAGCGGGGGACATACGGGGGGGGGGGCTTCGTCCCGGGGGAAGCTCCGTGCATTGAGGGGGCGCCCCCCCCCCGCCCCGAGCCTCGGGCGCCCCCTGGCGGCCGGAGCTCCGCTGCGTCAGTCCTCCAGCAATGTCCGCCAGCAGGGGGCGCCGGCAGCACTCGGCGCTCTGCCCGCCGCTCGTTGATCCCGCGAAGCCCGATGGGAAATGGAGGCGCGGCGCCCCGCCCCTTCCGCTTTGTGAGAGGTGTGGACTGCGTTACCCAGAGGGCACCGCGCGGGGAGGGGGCGGGGATTGGGGTCACGTGTGGGGCGGCCGAGCCGCGGGGAGCCGAGGGCTTCGGCTTAACCAGCGTGGTCTTGCGCAGGGCCGTGGGGTGGGGGCCTCCATCCGCTTTCTGTGCTCCAGGGCTGCGGGCAGTGGGACCCCCGCACCCCCAGGGGGGACTTGGAGGGGTCCTGCCAGCTCAGCGCAGCCCCGCTGGGGGGCACACGGATGTGGGCTGAGGGCTGGGTCCGTATCGGAGCCCTCGTGGGGCTGTCCGTCCGTCTGTGCGTCTATCCGTGCAGCTCCTTTGGAATAAAAGCGGTTTGTGAGACGTGTAGCAGTGCTGTGGGGGGGGGGTCCTTCCTGCCTTCTCCCGCAGCCCCCGAAATGTGCAGCCCTCCCCTCCCCCGCAGCCGTGTTTGCTCAGGGAATTGGCCTCGGGCTGTAAATAGTGCTGACGTCCGTTCTGTGGCTCATACACATCCCAGGGGATGGCACTGCAGGGATGGCTCCCCTCGGTCACCATAGCGGTTGGGTTGGGAGGGGGGACACCCTACAGACAGACAATGAGTGGGGAGGGAGACCCCCGCAGACGGATTGACCCTCCCTGCCTGCGTCAGTAGGTGTTTGCCCACCACCCACGGGCTGCTGGGGGGGGGGGAATAAAGGCAGCTGAGCCCCGCAGCGGGGATGATGGACGCTGCAGTGGGAAGATGGGCGCTGCGTGGCTCTGCCTGCTCTGCGCAGCCAGCGCCGGCCTCGTCCCGCTGGGCACTGGGGGGGAGCAACGGCTGTGGGCAGCCCCACGTCGAGAGGAGCCGGAGCTGGTAGGGGGCCGAGGGCTGGGGTCCCTGCTGCGTGCACCCCCTTGTTGAGGGGGCTGGGAAGTTCCCAGAGTTTTAAGGAGGGGGTTCCTGGTTGCTTTTCTGTGTTGGAATCTGGGTGCTTTTTAGGGCTTATCTCAGCACTTGGGTTAGAAAAGGGATATCCAGTGAGATGCGGGAATTGGCAGCTTTCACCTGTTTGTTCTTTCTCTGCTCACGGAGCTCCTGCCCCGCGGGGTCGATGCCAGAGGTGCCGGCGTTGAGGCGCTGCAGGAGGTGCTGGAGAAGCTGCGGAGCCGGGAGCTGCCGCCGACGGCCAAGAAGCCGGGCAGGGTGCCCTCGGTAGGGCCGGGCGCTGGGGGGGCACAGGGCGCTGGGGGGGCACCCAGGCTCCAAGGTGACGGCTCCTGTCTCACAGTGCCAGCTCGGGGAGCCCTGTGCTGTGCGGGTGGGGGCTCGCTTTGGGAAGCGCTGCAGCTGCCCCCCCGGCACCTCCTGCAACCTCTACATCCTGCGGTGCGCCTAAGGGCTGGGGACAGCACGGATGCTGCCGGCTGCTGGGATGCTGCAGGCTGTGCCATGTGGTGTGGAAGGGTGGCCACGCGCCCCGGCCCCCTCCCCACACGGAGATGCGCTCCTCTCCCCTGATCTGAGTGCCTTCACAAACCCTTGGGGGCCGCATTAAAGCACTTTGGACCCGTGGCTGTTGCCTGCTCTGCTCTTTGGGGGTTTCTGTAACGCTACCTCGGCTGTGGGGTGGAAGCGGTGGGGATGCGATGGGGCTGTGCGCCATCCTCCAACAGATTGTACTGCTCACGCTTTCACTGCACGGCACTGCACAGCTCAGATCGCCCAGGGGCTGCAGCGCGTCTCGCAGCCCTGCACAGTGCTGTACGGCGCATCCCCGCGCAGCTCTGCACCCAGTAGCCGTACCCAGCGCTACGGCACGCTGCACTGCATTCCCCAGCTGTACCCCACACTGCATCTCCGCACCGCAGAGCATCCACACCACACAGCACTGCAGCGTAAAGCCGGGCCCCACCCGGCTGCCCCACCCCGCCATCGCCCCTTTAAGCCCTCCCCTCCCGCCGCGCCCCCTCCTCCCTTTCTCCCCGCGCCTCGCCCTCCCATTGGCCGCCGGTGACATCAGTGGGCGGGGCTTGGCGGCGCTGACGCAGAGGGGGCGTGGCCTGGGGGCGGCGCGGCAGCGGGGGGCGCCGAAGATGGCGGCGGCGGCGGCGGCGGCGACTCCTCCCGGTCCCGCCGCGGGGCCGCGCCGCTTCTCGCTGCTTGCGATCGTGGGCGGCGGCTGCCACCGGCCCGGGCTGCTGGCGGCCGCGCTGCAGCAGCTGGAGCGAGGTGAGCCCCGGCCTCGTGGCCTCGTGTCGCGGCCCCCACAACGGGTCCGGCCCCGATGCCGGATCGGCCGCGCTCCGCCCGCCCCGGGCCCGAGGAGGGGGGAGGAGGGAGGAGATCCTCGGGGCGGGGTCCCGGTGGGCCGCGCCGCGGGCCGCGGTGGTCCCTGGGGGATGCCACCTCCCCGGCGTCGGTTCCCGCCCGTCGTCGATGGATCTGCCCCGCCATCTGTTCCGCACCCCCGCCTTCCGCCCCCCTCTCCCACCCCTCCTCATGCAGTCCGTCCGTTCTCCCCATGGGCGCTCGGGATCTGCTCCAAATCCCCGAGATTTGCCCCCGGTTTTGTCCCTGCCATCTGCCCCGTCTCCTGCCCCGCTCCCATCTCTGTCCCCGGGGATCCCTTTGTGCAGGGACGGATGTGTGTGTGTGTGTGTGGGGGGGGGGGGGTCTGAGCGTCTCAGCTCCTCCATCACCCCCGGCCCGGGGTCGTGGCATCGCAGTGCCCCGCTCTGGGGACACCCACGTGCCACCACGGAGGGACCAAACCCGCAGTGATGGGGAACCGCTGGAGAACGGCTCCGGCAGCCCTTTGTGCAACCCCACACCGCGGCTCCTTGCGCCATCGGCAGCCGTTAGCGGGCAGTGATGGTGGTGGCAGCCCCTCCCCTCCCCCTCCGAGAGCCCCCTGAGAGATCGAGCTCATCTGCACAGCCAATAGCTGGGCCTGCACTGGGCTGGGGGCTTCCGTCCGCTGGCAGCACTCACCCCAGCGCCGCTAATTCCATTAATTAGCACCTTCCCTTTGAGGAGGCGCTGGGAAGCTGCTGCCGTAGCCTCAGGGTTTGGGTTTGGGTTGGCAGAGGCGGCGTGGCTGTGAATCACAGCATCATCACAGCACACGGCACACGCCGGCGGTGCCACCCTCACACCCGGGTCCCCACGCTGTCCCCGTCCCCACGCTGTCCCCATCCCTGCGGCGTGGGGCTGGATGGCAGTGCTGGTGCAAACCGTGGTTGGGTGACAGCGTGGCTGTGTGTGAGCCATGGAGGGGTGAGGAGTGGGGACAGAGGGGCTCTGTCACCCGCGGCGTGCGTGGGGACAGCAGGCACTGCCCACCCTGCAGGCATCCGCTCCTGGGACATCGACCTCACCTCCTGCAACCTGGATGAGCAGCTGAAGCTCTTCGTCTCCCGCCACTCCGCCACCTTTTCCAGCATTGTCAAAGGTACGGAGGTGGCACTCGGAGTTGGGGACAGCGCTGTGGTGGGGCTGAGCGCCAGCGCACGTCGGCGTGGTCCTCACCTGACCCCGTGGCAGTGATTAATTCATGAGTCTCCCGAGGGGATGAGATGGGATGAGATGGGATGAGATGCTCTTTGCTGCGCAAACATTTCGCTGCTTCTGGAAAAGGGATTTGGGGAGGAGGTGGTGGCAGCCATCACAGTCACGGGGATGGGGGCCAGTGCAGGGGAGGGGAAAGGGGTGTTGGGAGTTTGTATCCCCATCCTAGACACTGCTGGCTGCTGCTTGGGGCTGAGCCCTGTGATTCCCACGTGGAAAGCTGCTTCCTACACCAGCAGCCACATTCCTCCCCCCAGGGCGGATGCTGGTGGGGCTGTGTGGTCGCTGTGGTGCCAGCATGTCTCGACCCATGCGTGCTTGCAGCTTGCCACCCCCTGGTGGGCTTGGGGTGCCCCATGGCCCCGTTTGTGTTTGGCTCCTGGGGGCAGTGGGTCTCTGCTTGAAGCCCGCAGCCTACGAGGAACCTCTGGGGGACAGCAGGGCAGCCTCAGCCTGGCTGCTCCCTTTCCTCCCCTCCCTGCAGCAGGAAGGAGATGGGAAGTGCAGCGGATCCCCCGCTGTCCTGGCCGGCAGCTGTCCCTCTTCCGCAGGGGAAGTGGACAGGTTCTGTCCCCGTCCTGGGCACGTTTGTGTCACCCCCTGATCCACACGCAGCCTGGCGGGGGAGGTCCTCAGGGACCTGCCACGTTTTGGGGAAGGATGGGTGGCAGCTGCTGTCCCCACAGGTCAGCGGACCCTGCATCACCGCGGCGATGTGCTGGAGACCCTGGTGCTGCTCAACCCCTCCGACAAATCCCTGTGTGACGAGGTGAGCGGGGAGGGGGGGCCATGTGGGATGCAAACGGTACGTGAGGAGGGGGGGGACTGGGGGGCAGCATCCTCACGTGTCCTCACGCCCCCCTCTCGGCCCCTGCAGCTGCGCAACCTCATCACGGATGTGTCGCAGCACAAGCTGCTGGTGTTTGCGGGGCCCTGCGTGGAGGAGACGGGCGAGCTGATGCTGCAGACTGGCTGCTTCTCGCTGCGGGACTTCATCCAGATCTTCACTGACAAGGAGGTGCGGGGCCGGGTGTGGGGAGGCACTGTCTGCTCATGTCTGCATCGTCTCAGCCGAGCGAGCGGAGCTGTCTGTGCTGCATGCATCCCTCCCTCTGCTGCATGAGGCTGGTGAGGGGGTGGCTGCATTCTAATTGCCCAGTACAGGAAGCTGGGGGCCACGGTGATAGCTGGGAGTGAGGCAGGGCTATGAGAGGGGCTCAGAGATTGCAGGCGAGGGGTGCGTGTGCTTGGGAGGGAGCTGCCCCGTACGGAGGGACCCTGGGTGCCATGTGGTGTGAATGGGGCCCTGCCTGAAGCTCTCCCCTCACAGGTCGGGGAGATCCTGAGCTCCGCGGATCCCTCAGCCAAAGCCAGGCTGACCATCAGCTGCCCCGACTTCGGGGAGTGGAAGGACTCGGGCTTGGACCATCACAACCTGCAGGACTTCATTGAGCTGCGCTACAACCCCGGCTGCATCCTGCCCGAGATGGAGGGGCTGGAGGAGTTCATGGAGTACCTCTCGGAGTCGTTGGAGCCCCAGTCCCCCTTCGACCTCCTGGAGCCCCCCACCATGGTGGGTTTCCTCAAGCTCTCCAAGCCCTGCTGCTACATCTTCCCGGGTGGGAGAGGGGACTCCGCTTTCTTCGCCGTTAACGGCTTCAACGTGCTGGTGAACGGTGGCTCCAACCCCAAATCGTCCTTCTGGAAGCTGGTGCGGCACCTGGACCGCATCGACTCCATCCTGGTGACGCACGCGGGCACCGACAGCCTGCCTGGCATCAACAGCCTGCTGCAGAGGAAACTGGCCGAGCTGGAGGAGGAACCAGCCTCGCAGGGTTCGCAGGGCAACGGCGACTGGGCCCGCAACCTCATCTCCCCAGAGCTGGGCGTCGTGTTCCTCAACGCCTCCGAGAAGCTGAAGGCCATCGAGGGCAACTCAAGGGTGCTGAAGAGCTGCGACGAGGCGGCGCTGACGCTGCACTATTTGGAGAAGTTGGGCATCCGCCCCAACCCTCTGGCACGGGATTGCAGCCCCCGCGTGGAGCCCACCGTCCTGTTCCAGAAGATGGGAGTGGGACGGTTGGACATGTACGTGCTGAACCCGGTGCGGGGCACCAAGGAGCTGGAGTTCCTCCTGCAGCATTGGTCTGGGGACGGCTACCCTGAGGAGCAGGAGCTGCCGCTGCAGTGCCTGACCTCGGTGTGCGCCCTGCTGGTCTGGCACCCCGTCAGCCCCGCCGAAAAGATCATCCGTGTCCTCTTCCCCGGCTGCACGCCCCAGGCGCGCATCATGGAAGGGCTGGAGAAGGTGAAGCACCTGGAGTTCCTCAAGCAGCCCGTGGTCACCAAGAATGACCTGAAGGGCCTTCAAGCTGACAAGCAGCTGAAGCAGAGGAGGACGGAGAGCAAGGAGAGTTTGGCGTCTGCCTCCAAGCTCAGCTTGGTGGAGGCTGGGGTACCCAAAGAGAAGGCTCTGAAAACGGTGGAGAGGAAGGAAGTGAAGGTGGGGACCAAGGAGAAGCCAAAGGCACTGGGGGAGGTGGCCAGAGCAGGGTCAGAGGAGGAGAAGGCCAAACTTGCCAAGCCGGACTCCTCTGCAGAGAAGCTGAAGGCAGAGGCGAAGCCAAAGGTGAGCAAGGAGAAGGCAATGCCCAGGAAGGAACCTGTGCCCCGCAAGGAGGAGAAGAAACCACTGAAGAAGGAGGAGAGCACCGAAGGGAAGCTGGAACCAAAGAAGGAGCTGAAGGCTGTGAAGAAGGACGTGAAGGCGGAGACGCTGCGGAAGGACACAAAGGACACCAAGGCTGAGCCCAAGGCTGCTGCAAAGCC